TTTGTTTAAATGTTTCATACAAAAGTCAGCATCCTTGTGCAGTACTTCCTCAGTATTGCACTGTTAGCCCTGATTTTTGTCATAGTCGTAGTGTCAGACAGCACGGACACAGACTTTTCAGTCCAACCAGTCCATGCTGAACATTATCCCAAACTAAACTAGCTCCACCTGCCTGCTCCTAGCCCATATCCCTCCAAACCTTTTCTTATTCAAGTACTTATCATGTCTTTTAATCGTTGTATTTGTACCCATACCCACAATTTCCACACTGTAAAAATATGTCCCTGCTATGTCTTTTTTTTAAAAATCTCTCTCCTCACATTAAAAATGTGCCCTTTAGTCTTGAAATCCCCCATCCCAGGGAAAAGGCCAACTACTGTTAACTGTTTTAAAATAATGAGAGGTATAGATAAACTTCTATAAAGTCACATCTCAACCTCCTATGCTCCAGTGAAAAAAGTCCCAGCCTTTCTTTATAACTCAAACCTTCCATACCTGGCAACATTCTCGTAAATCTCTTCTGAACCCTCTCCTAGCTTAATAATATCCTTCCTCTAACAGGGTGACCAGAACTGGACACCGTATTCCAGAAGAGGTCTCACCAATGTCCTGTACAACCTCCAATGTGACATTCCCAATTCCTATACTCAAAGGACTGAGCAATGAAGGCAAGCGTGCCAAACACCTTTTTTAACCACCCTGTCTATATGTGATGCAAACATCAAAGAATTATTTATGCGAACCCCTAGGTCCGTCTATTGTCCAGGTGCTTGCATGGAACTCTAACACTTGTAAATCAGAGTTGAGAGAGAGACTTCTTCAGCCACAGCAGAAACTCAACCGAACCGTGTGAAAATGTGCAGGTAAATATGCAGTGTATCTTTAGAATGGCTTCATTCATTACTCAGTTGAACATACATTGCAGCATTACATGGTTGTTAACAGGGAGTTAAAATTACACTTGCATCAATGCACTAAAGTAGACAGCTGCCCCTTGAAGGAGATTTGCTGCCCTGCAGAGAGCTTAAGTGTGATTGTGGTCACAATTTAGATCAGCCTGAGCAGTTACCATGGTAACATTTGATGGTATCACCGAGTCCCAAACTGTGTCTGTAATAGAAGCTGTATCTATGAACACCAAGGTACAGAGCACAACAAATGAAAACACACCAATATATCTACATTTTAAAAATTATACTTGTTTGTCTTCAAAAAGCTAATTAAACCAGTTAATGAATTCACTACTTTCCTGCAAGAAATAAATGCAATTCTCCTTGATTTTTATCCCACGGATCATGACATCAATAATTATCTCAGTTGCAATTAGGAAATATAGTGTATGTCAGGATTTAAATATGATCCCACTACATAAGAAATAGAAGAAGGAGGAGGCCATTCACTGCCTCAAACTTGCTCTAACATTCCACAAAATTATGGCTGATCCTCTACCTCAGCTCGACATTCCTGCTCTACCTCCACATCTTTTAATTCCAGTTGTCACCTTTTGTGAATCTATTCAACAATTGAGTATCCACAACAGTTTGGGGTAGCAAATTCTCAAGACTTACAGCACTTTGAAGACATTCCTCCTCCTCTTCCTCCTCCTCTCGGTCTTAAATGGCTGATTCCTTCCTTTTTAATCTGGAGGTGGGGAAGTGTGAACATCAGCCCAGATTTGTTTCTGCTACCATTAGATCCTGGAGTCAAGTCAAACCATAAACATCTCTAAACTGGGTTTGGAAACAATCAGCAACATCAAACTATGGGAACAGAATTTTAATTCTCGAGATAATAAGTCTGCTGTTCTGTGTTCTCAAAGATGACCATTGGAACTTGCCTTGACTGATGGTAAAACCCAATGACAGCACTTTGACGTTCCACGTTGTCTGATCATATCTCACTATCTCCACAATAATCTGAAGTGTCAACTGAAATTAAGTCACTGGAATGGATCCTGAAATTGGTATTGAGGCTAGCATTGAGTCATTTTCCCTTGAAAATATGTTATTAATAACCAACTTTATGTTATGTTTGCACTTTGGTATCTAATTAAACAAATTCTTAACTCACCCAACTTCCAATCTTCACCATCTCAGTTTTTGAAAACCTGCAGCCAAAGATTTTTATGTTCTCCCTCAATATTCAACACTTTCGGAAATCTTCTAATCTGGATTAAAGCATGAAATATCTCTTAACCACCAAGGAAATTCCACAAAGGATTGATTCAACCATTTGGATCAGGTTGCTTAAGTTTTTGTTAAAAAGTCATTCTTCCTTGAATCTGCAAAATGACACACATTAATTAGTCTTAATTAGAAATATTGATTAATTCCAGCTTGTCTGAACCTTCTGCCTGTGTTTAGCATTTCATGCCATATGTAGTTTAACCATTACGTCCAAATCAAATGGTTTATAATCTTCCTGCAAACCAAAATCCTTCAAGTTGAATAAATTCACTCCCCACTGTGAAAAATCTCATATTATAATGGCTTAGCATTTCTGCAATAAGTGAAAGAAACTAGAAGCAAACAATATCTTTCATTTTCAGAAAATAATTTACGTTTTTCACAAATCCACTAAAGAACATTTAAACATAAACTTTGCAAAGCCTAATAACGTGCATTTTTTTAAAAAAGCTGAGTATTCAGGACAGAAGTAACATATAACATGTTAAGGCCGGAGAGGTGCCAGCAGTGACTCCTGCAAGGATTCTCGGAATGGCAGCGGGGTGTCAGCTGCAGCGATGACAGAATGGGGAGTTACAGCTGCAGTAGGCCCGATATGTAGACTTTAGGCTGTGCTGGTGTTGGTGCCCAGAGTGGGGGCCCTGGCTGCAGTAGGCTCCGAGCATGGACCTTGCAGAAGTCTTGGAATCGTGTTTGGGACTATGGCCAATGAAGACAAACTCTCCTTAAATACTTTCTTTTTACTCTTTTGTACCTCAAAATGGCACCAGATTGTGGCGACAGAACATGTTTCACTGTATCTCCCTGGAGATATGTGACAATAAACCATTCACTCATTCAATGAGGGATGCTGAATGTTGAATGAAACAGAACAACTGAGAAAACTAAAAGTGGGACACAAGCTAGGCAATAGTGACCATAATACGATACTGTTTAAGATAGTGATTGAAAAGGCTGTAGGTTCAATGAAAACAAAGTTAACTGAGTGGAGTAACCGAAGAGGCTGAAAATAGAACCTGGGAAAATAAAATGAGTAACAATATTGGGAAACAATAACGAAGAACAACATGGAAACATTTGATATGATGTTCAGTCTGCAGTAAAAATATATTCCACTAAACGGAGAAATGAGACTAGTGAGATTGCATTGATAAACAATATCATTAGGGAACAACTGTGGGTTCTGAATAAGGCATATATTAAGTGCACAGTAAGGAGAAGAGTTCATTATAGGAGAGGATATTATCAGACTAGGAACTAAATTTTAAAAAAAAATCTGGACAGTAAGGAGAAAACGTTAAATTATTGAACATAAAACAAGATAATAAAATATATTATAGGCACATAAATAAGAAAATAAAGCTATGATGGGAGTAGGACCATTAAGGGATAGGATAATAGCATGGTTAACTATAGAGGGATGACAAATATTAAGCAATAATTTCACTTTCATATTTACTAGGAGATGGAACAAGTAGATATGATATTGAATTATTCATTTCATCATTGAATAAATGCAGTTAAGATAAGAGAAATGGGATGTATTGAATAAACTAAACAAACTCAAGGACGATAAAACTCCTGATACCACTCACATGCATCAAAATATTAAGGAAAATAATAACAGAGGCATTGGTAGACATACTTAGTAATCCATTGGGAAAAGGTATAGCCCCAAATAGCTAATACAATTCCTATAATTAAAAAGGGGGCCTGAATGTGTTAAAGGAATTATAGATAAGTTAGCTTTGCATCTGTGGTGGGAAAAATAACAGACTAAAGGATTTACTTGAAAAATATCCAGAAATAAGAAATACAACAATGTAGTTAGCAGGGATTTCAAAATGGCAAGTTTTGTTTGCCCAACCATATAGAAGTTTTTGAGGAGGTATGAG